ATTTAATGTATAACAATTACATAAATGTAAATGCTAATATATTCACATACTTTTTCAATATTATCATACAAAATAAATAATATATTAGCTATTTATTTATTGTGGAATGACATTGTTGTTGTAACCAAATTTTAATAAAGCTAACGATAACTGAGCCTCTTAGTAACATTAAAATGTACTGTAGAAATTTTAAAAAAAAGGTTTTCAGATGAATTTATCATTTTTGTTCCTTTTATAATAATACATATTAAACTGGACAACTGACGAAATAAATATAGGAGTGACTTAAATATTGTAAGTAATAATGCTATATACTTAAAACAACTTAGCCATATAAACCATTCTTATGCATATAAAGTGTGAAATATAACGTGACAGGAATGTTACCGTGATTTAACCGACGGCAGCAAACACGAGAACAATTAATAATTTTGATTTCTTTAAGCATAAGTGTTGTGAAAATCGAAGGTATGTCAAACTCTATTTTAATAACCAAGAGAGAGATCATAAATATATATATCTGAAGATTTTACTAAGTAACTTTATAAAGTTAAGTCGCTAAGATCACGTACGCTTTATATTACATAAGACTAATCATATTTGATTATAAGACTGCTAATAAGACTAAGCATATTTGAATGAAAAACGTCTGATGTGGACACCGAATGATTTCTTTCTACGGTCTTTTAAAATATGCACATTTTGTTTTGGCTACACTTCATTTAAACTTATTTTTTTGAAATTATTCTACTAACTTAATTAATCGATTCGTCGAAGCAAGTTGAAAATTATATCCGAAACCGCAAATTTGTACTAGTTAAAGAGCTCGGTCAGTTTTTCGTCGAGCGTGAATCAAACTTCTTATAAAATTATTTTTCATAACGAGTATAAAACTTTCTTCAATATAAGAACTAGGAACCCACATTAAAATACTAGGAACCCACATTAAAAGTTAAATTTCGTTATTTTTCGAATATAATTTTTTTTTTAAATTTGACTTTGTCAAAACTTAAATATTTTCATCATTTAAAACACTTCTGTAATTGGAAGTAAATGATGACACCCAGCGATTGAGAGAAAATAAAGGCCAGGTAAGGGGGTGGATTATATTTGTATGTATGTTTGTATATATATATATATATATATATAAATATATATATATATATAAATGACTATATATATATATATATAAATGACTACAACCAACGATTGAGAAAATAAAGGCCAGATAAAGGAGTAGGTGTATATATATATATAAAGTATGGCCGATTGCAAAAAAGGAAGGGTGCAGAACTAGATGTTACATGAGACCGCTATACAAAAATTCAGCATTCTATGCTTAATCGTTTTGAGTTATGCATTATGCATACGTATGTACATGCAAGGTACACACATACGTTTGAGTTATGTGAGTACGTACATGCGTATATACAGACGTAATAGAACTTTTGAAGCCATCTTAAATCCATTTTACAATCCGTTTTGGAAAAAGGGTGCTTTATTATGTTCTTCCACTAGTACAGCCATCATGCAAAACAAAATCTTGAGTCTGTTCATCAACTATTTTATCATAATCTATGGATGAAATTTCATTAACTCTAGCTAATGTATCGGCTACAATATTATTCTCACCTTTTACATATTTGATATCAGTCGTAAAAATTGGGAGATGCATTGAAGTTGGCGAGCTTATCTAGGTGCTGTTTTGTCACTATTTTTTGACAAAAGGCTAATATTAAGGGCTTTGTGATCTGTATAAATTGTAAATAATCTTCCTTCTAGATAATGCTTAAAGATATATGCTTAATAGTTCTTTATCATAGGTGCTATGTTTTGAGTATCATTTATTTTTTGAAAAAAAATGCTATTGGTTTCCACGAGGAGTTTTCATATTGTTGCAACACTGAGTCAATCGCCGTTTCTGAAGCATCTGTAAATAACGCCAGAGGTAGCTCAGAATTGGGAAAAAAGACAACAGTGCCGTGTTCACCAGGTCATTCTTGCACGTTTCAAACTGTTTTTTCAGCTTCTTCAGTCCATTCGATTTTACGTTTGTCCCTCTTTTTAGCTCCCTTGAGATACGCATGTAACAATGCTTGATTCTTCGCTGCATCCTTTATATAACGACGATAAAATAAAAGTTAAGTATTCCAAGAAAAGGTTCTAAGTTCATGAATTGTTTTCTGGTCGTTTGTAGTTAGTAATAGCTTGAACTCTTTCTGGCAAAGGACGGGAACCCTTAGGTGTAATTAGTAATTAGGTAGCCTAGAAACTCGATTTGGGGAACAGCAAAGACAGATTTTGAAACATTAATTCTTAACCCAAATGTATGTAATCTTTCGAAAACTAATTTAAGGTGATTTTCGTGTTCTTCATGGGTACTGGATGCAATGAGTATATCGTCTAAATAGGGAAAAACGAATTCTAATCCTCTAAAGACTTCGTGAATAAATCTTTGGAACGTTGCAGGAGCATTTTTTAAACCGAAAACTCATTACATTAAATTCGTATAAACCGAAAGGAGTGATGATAGCCGTTTTACATTTGTCTTCTTCTGCAATGGGAATTTGAAAATAAGCTTTGAAAAAATCAATTTTAGAAAAAATATTTGTACCTCTTAAAATATGATGAAAATCTTCAATGCGAGGAATTGGGTATCGTCTGCGCATTCAATCGTCGGTAGTCTCCGCAAGGACGATATGAACCATCCTTTTTCGTAACAAGGTGCAAGGGGCTTCTAAAATTGACCACTGGGAGTTTGATGGACGAAAATATTCCATTGTCAAGTATAAATTTAAATTCCTCTTTAGCTATATCTAAGCGTTTTGGATCAAGCTGTCGTGCCTTTGAATAAACGGATTGACCATCAGTCGTAATAAAATGTGTAACACCATGTTTAGTTTGTGTAGGAAAAAGGTTAGGCTTAGAAATTTCGGGATATTTCGACAGTTAATCGAAACTTTTTATGAATTTATTTAATATGGTTTATCACTGGAAATAGCAGCGACATCACACTGGACATAGAGTTGTGTTACCCATCAATTAACGTTTTCTTTAGTTGCCATTCAGCATAAAGAAATGTAAATATAAATATGAGCTACTTTTGTTGCCATTCAGCATAAAAAATATAAATACGAATAATAACAAAATATTAAAGTTAATTTTGTAAAATAATTAAACACATGAAAAAATATAAATTACTTGAAATAATAATTATTTCTCCTGCAATAACTGGGCCACTACGATTTTAATAATATCGGGAAAAACTTCGTTTCACTTATTAATACAATTTTAATAATATCGTGAAAAACTTCGTTTCACTTATTAATACACAAAAATTACGCCCTTTTTTAAATTTTCAGAGGAGAGCTTACTTCTTATTAAGAACTACCCATGAAGAGCCTGTAATATTTTTGTTCACCTGAAGAGGGCAAAAAAGTGCCGGAAACACAGTACATGATATTGTTGTGCTTTGATTAGCAGTCTGCTCTGATTGTAGATTTTACAGTGAACTTTCAAATTTAGAGTTATTCAAAATCTACCATATTTTGAATTTCAGGGTACAATGGAATTCGTTTCTGTAGTTAATGCGTGGCTGGTGCTTAAAACTAAACTTACGTAATGACATTATACTCATGAAATACATCCATACAACACATAATACTAGAATGTTACATATAAACAATAACTGTAATTTACAATAATATGCAATATCAATAACTATCAACTAGCCAACTCAAATTTTATAAAATTGAACGCATACGCCTGAGGATCAATAAAAAGTTTCACCGCTAATATTTTTGTAAGCCAAACAGTCACCCAGTAGATTATGTTTTCGGCTGCGTCAGCTGCTTCTAGGTTATTACATAAATACAAATGCCACCGTGAATACTAAATATTTTCTTGTTACGGCAATAAACAGTCCAAGGATATAAAAATAGCTCTTGGCAGTAAAATTATCAATATTACACAATTAATAGTAAATGCAAACCTGCTCAAATGTATCTTTTTCGCTAAATACATTTATTTTAAGTTCACTACTAGTTTGAAAAATCAATTAACTCCTTCCTTAAAAATAGCAAGACTTGTAATGCTGCTATCAGCATAATTATATTTTAGAAACAATAGTCGACTATGTGCTACTACAGCACTCACACATAATCCAACCTTCGGTAAAGGTTATTTACGTTTACAATTATGCAGCGTGTTCATAAAAGTGCTCATGCCGTCATTAATTTCGCAACCTTATGTCCAGCTACAGACGTAATGCAAAAATGAGCGTTTTGGTATTTTTTAAACATATGATTTTCATGTAAATACGACGAAACCTGACATAAGAGGAAATGAAGGGAAAGAGATAGCACTGTCAGCACTACAGTGACCAATCATTAGACCTTCAAGACTTCTCGCCGAAAGAAAAGGCAAAATTCCAGAACTTCGTAAACATACTTTCGGCTTGATTTTCTGTGTTTATCCTTACTGTCACTTCTACATTGGTCGGATCCAATCAGGATACAAATTAGCTAAAGTATATAGCAGCAGATTCCTTGATCTTAAAGATGCCTTGATCAGCAGATTCCTTGAGCTTTTAGCTGCGATCGCTGACTATCTCATTCTATTTTCTTTCAACTTCTAAGCTTGTTTTAATCGGCTTTATCCTTTTGTAGTTGTGTTTACTCGCATAAGTCGAAAGCCTGAGCCAAAATTTATAGGCGGACTTTGTTTTGTAAATACCATACATTAAATACTTAAGTTTCAGCTAACTTTAGTGTTCTACGGAGCCTTTTATTATCATACGAGCTGTGTAAATCGTTAGGCTGAAGATATCATTAAAATATCTGATTTATAATTTTGAAAGATTAGAATGATTCAGTTATTATTTTGAACCTGGTTCGGTGTTACTTTACCGAAGGATTAAGATGGTGCGATAACTCTCTTGGTTGTCTTCATGAACTAACTCGCTTTTTTGTGTTCATGAACATTCTACTACGTCTAGGATCGTACTTGCTTCGGCAGTACATATGCTAAAATTGGAACAATGCAGAGAAGATTACTCCGGCGCAAGGATGACACCTAGAGGATCCGCCTGAGACACGAACATTGCAGACAATCTTCTTCCTTTAACGAAACCATATTTTTGTCATTTAAATGTTATTTAAGGAAAATTTAAATATACCCTCTGCGGTGGAGTTGTTGCTACATAATTTTGTAGAATGTAATAATATGTACTCGTACAGAATAATGCATATTGGTATATCTACAGAATAGAGAGAAAATCTGTAGCCAAAATATGTAACAGATAAATGTGGAAAATGTATTGCTATCAGTAATAAAGTAGATACTAAAAACGGAAAATGTTATTGAACGATTTATAGTATTTTTAATTTGCTTTCTTAGTTAAATGCAAAAAAAGTGAAGAATATAATTTGGATAACTTGAAAAATACATGGCTGAGCAATAGTTACTTTTTCCCTCTAGACTGGTTTTTATTATCTTCCGCCACTTAAAATAAACAACTCAAAGTTTCTTTTAAGAATAAATATGTTTTATGGGTGTACTAACACAACTCAACCAAAGCCAGTACTAAAACATAAAATCATATTCATATTACCAGTTTAAAATTTCTTTCAACAGAAGAAAGAAAGAAAAATATGTTATAAACATTTCTTTTTAGCTTTTTCTGCAAAACGTTATTTGGCCGTGAAAGAGGCATATGTTGAGAACTAACAAAACATCAGTAAAAAAACCTGAAACAGCTGTAACGCGAGAACTAGCTTCTCAGAACTTTATTTTCATTTCACTAGTAGTTGCACAAGACGTGAATAATTCATAACACATATCGTTTTACACTTTTACAAATGTTGTTTTCTAGTCTAATAACATCATTCGTGCTTGCAAACGAATTCAAAATCGAATATATTCTTCAAAGAGATAGGTGGAGTTGAAATTTACATTATTTTATATATTTTTAGCTACCAGCGAACTCGAAGCTGAGTATATTTTATTTTCTTTTACTTATTTCTCCCAAGAAAGAACGTAAACATCAACTTTTGAACACGTCAAACGCCTTCAAATCGAGTTTTAATCCAAAATATCACACTGAAATGGAAAACTCCAAAATTTTTTTCCGAGTGAGGAAATTCGCTTGCACTTTCATGCCTTCAACACCGGATGTATGAATAATACACAAGCGTGCTCTACCGGAAAGGAAAAAAAATTTGGCCAGGCATCACTTTTGGCTAAATCTGCATTCAAATGCAGAAGTTCTTTTTTCGTGGTTTGAATATATTCTTAACTGCAATGCTTTGAGAAGAGGCTTTCAGAACATTTTTACTTTCTCTTCTTGCATGCTTTTAAAGAACGTTAATTCAGCCAATGATATAAAATTTATTCTGAAGTTACACTTTAATATTGCCATTGCTAGCGTCACCATTTATCATCATAATATAGCGGCTATATGGTATATTTTTATGCGTTTTAACCAGATGATATTTTATATACAAAATCTATTTTTCATTTAAACTTTTCCAAAAACATACTTTAAAAATTGTTTTCAGTGGTGCTGATTCGTAAATTTCCTGCAGTAACAAAGACCAGAATTTTCTAGTTATAAGTAAATAATGTTATAAAGCTAAGGCAAGAAACTATTATTTTGGCATTAAATTCACTATCGAAATTATATTAAAATATGAAGATAAGTCGCTACACATTATGCACTTCGTCTTTTAGAGAACGACGGTTGTTATTTAAAAGATGAAGATTTGATTAAACACATCTTGCTGAGCTACGTGCAACAGGAATAACAGACCACGCTCATTCTGTTAACCAGTTGCACTTCTAACTGAACGATATAAATCTCGCAAAACGTCGAATGGCAAATTCTAGCTGGCTGTTTATCAGGGCTAAATCAACTACAGATTTGTTTCAGGTTGCGGTAACTCATGCTAGAGCAGGCGGATAATAAATGTCTGATTTCTTAATGCCACAAGTTTACGAAAAAAGTTACTTTCCTAGTATCATCTAAATAAAAAGATTTTAAAATTACATCTATAATGATTGATGCGTTCTAAAAGGATACAATCTGAAATTTCTTTTCCGTACCGCAATATTTGATTTTTTTCACTTTTCTTTTGCTAACTTCTACAAAGCACGTAATTTTGGACAGGTATGTTATATTTTTAGCAAAGTAGGACTTTGTTTATTCAGAAATGCGACAACCAGAAATTATTTTATTATACACTTTATAATTTTGAATATTTTGCTTATATTTTGAAAAAGCTGAAATCTGAAAAAATGATTTGAAATCTAAAAGTGCTCAAATTTTAACGATCGCCCAACAGGATTTTTTAACGCTTTTCTACGCTCTTGCTGAGCTCGCAGTCTACCATTCTGCTTTTGCACTCACTACTGCTAACTCATTTCATTTTGGGCGCCCACCAGCGGCCGAGCGGTAAAGTCGGTGAACACTGGTAGTTCGGTCCGAGGTTCGCATTCCGCGAACGGGCTGGGCTGCATGGGTGGTTTCGTGGTTTTCCCCATGTGTAACGTGTATACGAGCCAGTTTCCCTCAGAAAGTCATCCACGAAGGCATCCCTAACCTTAGGCAGATAGCCCTAGTGTGCTTTGCCATAATTAAATACACACCACACCATTTCCTTTTGGCTTTTATGCTTTATTATTGAGCATGATTTTCTTTGCCCGTACACCAAATACAATTCAACAGCTGAATTATAAAAATTTTAAAAGCAGCATGTGTTTAGAATTCCCGACGAAGAGTTAAGTGTTGGCCACATCTTTATATTTTTTCATTATGTCAATATATAGTTTTTCTTAGTCAGACGGCTTGCAAAACGTTTTCTGTTTTCTCTTTGTTAACTTTTTCTGTGTTAAATTTATGAATTAAATGTCATATTCTTCCCACTTACACCGCATAAAATTCAGTTGAATAGCAAAATCACAAAATATTTGAAAACAGAATATCTTTAGAATTCCCGATATATTGCCTCGCGCACTAGAGATAACAATGGTTTTATTTGTACATTGTCGCCACTGCTAGCTTTCAAATTGCTGACTTTGTTAAAAATTTATTAAAGTTTTAAAAAATGTGAAATGTAAAATTCGGAATTCAAAATGCGGTTCGGGTGGAGGATGACATTATTCAAAAATGAATGATCCTAAATACCGTCGTTTTTTCACAGTGCGAAAAACATATATACATTCATGCACACTCTTCATTAGTTAATTTTGTTTTAAGTAACAGAGTGCGATAATTTTACGTGGAAACAATTTGAAAAGCCATTCAGACATATTAAGTGATAACGCCGCCGAATTCCGTTTTGAGAGTACTAGCCCATTCTAGCTAACGATCTTTTGAATTAAAAAAAATATTCGTATTCAAATGTAGATATACAAGATAATGTAGGAACTGACAAAAATTAAATAATAAGCTTAGCAATAAATCAGAGTAAAATATAGTTTTAATATATTTAGAGTTATTGGGAGGGCTTTCATAGATTCGGCATCAAGAATGAAAATTCAAAACAAGATTTAAGACGTGAGTAGTTTTATATTAGTTTCTTACATTTTGTATTTTGCGTGCCGTATGTGTATTTAGTGTGCGTTCTGGGTCCTTTAAAATGTCTTACTAAATCAAGAAGTACCATGGATTTAACTTCTTCCGCTCACATGGATTCTTCAGGAACATGCATACATAGCCTGTTTCTTCCCCCTTATTTTATTTAGTTACATTAGTCTACCAGCTAATTTATGAGTTTTGCGAAGTGATGAATACTGCTATTGGTATAATTCTGTTAATTTATCATTCATGTGACTTGCTATGTTGCTATTCGATATAGCTTTATCTTTAAAATTAAAATCAAGCACTGTTTAACTAAACGAAATTAAAAAACAGTGCAACGTAAAAACAGTTCTATATAATTTATGTCCTTATTTTAATTTTTAAACTACCTTTAATTCGGGAAATTTGTAGATTATATAATTCTTACAATATATATTATATGTAGTTAGTGTTCTTTATAAGCCCTTGTAATGCTCATGTAACTAATAAATATTATCTGAAAACCTGATTATAAATCTCACGCAGCGTGGAATGGGATGAGCTTATAGAGAAAAAGATTTAGTATGCCGTTCAACACTAACAAAATGTGATGTAAGGTAACGTAAACTGAAAAACAGAAAAATTTAATTCAAGATGGATTAACTATAAAGACAAATTTTAATTGGGTCGTTAGTGTATTAGTAACACCTCAGATGATTTACACTTTATAAATTGAATTGTTTATAATATAATAATATGTATTATTTGCATTTCCCAATTATTATGCTTTTGTTACATGTAGTTATTTTTTTCTTCAAGTTTCTTCCATTAAAAATAAAGGAATAGTAGTAAAAAGTTTAGATTATAATGAAGCCACACTAGAGGCTGTGAGGAAACAGCAAGAAAGATATCGTAAGAAAGAGGGAAGTATAACGCAACACAAAAATAAGTAATTTTAAAAATAAGGAGGCGTACAAAGAAAGGGAAGCATAAAAGTTGCAAGCCATCCATAAAGTAATGTAATGCAAACAGCGCCGTAGTAGGGTTAAAAACGAATGATTTTTCTGTTTGCATAGTTTAAATCAACTGGATTAAAAGAAGCAAATCCTCACTTTTTTATTACAAAGCTAAATATGTTTTCAGAATTTTAAATGATTTCTTTGTCAATATTAAATTTTTGCCTTAGATTTACTTAAAAAGGCGAGTGAGTTGCTTTTGATTCTTAGTCTTCTTCAGACAGAAAAAGAGCGAAGAAAGAAGTGAAACTGATGTATCTCTGCTTGATTTCACTTACTTCTGTTCAAATTGATACTATTTTACTTAGCAAGGATATGTTGTATGAGATCTGAGCCTCACAAAGTGTAACACAAAAATGAAAGTAATATTTTTTTTAACTACAACTTCCTATTCTAATAACAAAATGATAAAAATTTAGAAAAATTATCCATAAGCGTTAAATTTCAAGAGTTATAGGTGATTCGAAGGATAAAAGAGAGCCCGTAGTCAAAGTGAATAGAATTGATAATTGTGAGCACCTTCTAAAAA